GACGTCAATTTTCCCGATTCTTCCTTTAAAAGTCGCCTGCGCTCACGAGGCGGTACCGGACCGCTCGGAGAGGCACACGGGAGCGGGAGAAGGCGGCCTGCCCGCCCCAAAGGGCCTGGGCCCCGCACCCCAGCGGGGCCGGGTGTTTTGGGCTGAGATTTGGTTCATTCCCCCGCACAAGCTTCCCCTCTGCAAACGGATTTTTTTTATTTTCTTTTTTTCCTTGTCTGCTTGGAAGGATGATCTAAAGGAGGAGAAAAGTGAGCCTCAGCTGAAATGGTCTGAACGTCATCAGAAAACTTTGGACAAAAACTGCAAAAATAGGATACGATTCCACCACCAAATGATAGCATTTTCACTGCTTGCCCCTGAACGGCCGTAGTTGTAGAAGATGTTTGGTTAGTTAGACCAGGAACCGCTAAAGTCTTGCCTGGAAATAATGCCAGTTAATGGTAACATTTATTGTGCTGCAGTGCAAAGCATTTAAAAATCTCATCTTCCCATGGCAAAGCAAGACTTGAAGGCAGAGGGAAGGAAAAAAAAAGAGATGGATACGCACTGAAATAGTTTAAAATGCTATCTTAGAAAATCCAAGTGCACAACTTCTTTCGCACAGCTTTCCCCATTACTTCAATTCTCTTGCTCTGCTACACCAGTAGAAAGAGCAAGCCAGTGAAAATACGGATACAGAAAAATAAAACAACCTACACCAGAGGTAGAGTTACAGTACGGAAGAACTGTAAAACACTGTTTAAAGGCTCAAATACGTATTTCATAGTTAAAAGTCATGGGCCATCCTCTCTCTAAGCCAAAGATGCTGGACACACAGTCCACTAACAGGGATATAAAATAATTTGGGGCTCTCCCACTCTTCAGCTCTCCGTCTCTGGCATTGGCATTGCAAGGTTCTGCAATGGGACCAGTCACCAGGACCAAAGTTCATTTTTCTGAAGAGGAAAGGGGAGATGCCCTCTCACCAGGCACTTCTGTGGCAGGTTTCCCAACCCTTACATCTCATGGGTTGGTTATTTTAAGATCCTGCCTACTTGCCCTATTTCTAAACTGGAAGTTTGGGGACAAGTTTACAGCTAGCCCAAACCCTGCCTTGGCCATTATAGAAGCCCCTTTAGATAGTCATTTACATTAAAAAGTAATATAGACCCATGTCCAGGGAGAAACATCCCCTGAGGGTTTCTTCAGTCTCTCTCCAGAAAACATAAGCTAGGGGCACCTGTGCCCCAACAGGTTTCTCTTCCAGTCCCTCCATTAAAAAAGGCCAGGCCTACTTCTTCACACTCCTTTCCCAGCATTTGCTCTCCTTCGTGAGCCCCGTGACTCCACCGTGTTCTCCACTGCGGTGCAGTTTCAGCATCTCTCTCATGAACAACTACACTGTGTTTCTGCGTAGCGGTGCAAAACTAAGCATGCTGCAAACTCCATCAGCCTTATAATCCTGTTAACCTTATTCTCTCTCTTGCTCTGTCTGTGCGCTGTCTTAGATCTATACTTAGACTGTAAGCTCTTCCACTCCGAGACTGAATCCTGGTGGACTTTAAAGCACAGCACACGCTTAGAGCTGCATAATCTGCTCGGAAGGTAACACGCTTTGCTCTGAGCACCAAGGGGCTGACATGGAGAACAGCAGCTGTTTCCTTTGCAAAAGGAACACAGACACGACACAATCGCTCTCATTGACACATTGTCAGGAAGGGAATAATTATTTAAAGCAAAACCCAATGCTGGAAGAAGAATAAATGGCAATAGCCAGCCATGAAAAACATCAAGATCAAAATCAGATTTGTAATCGGCACCACAAAGAATTTCTAGAACAGGGCTCTAGCAGGCATACAGCTAAAAATCCAGCCAGCCAGCTCCTTTGCAGATGGGCTGGTTTATTATAGGCAGGATCTGAGAAGGCAGCCCTTTTTTTGACCTGTACTCTTTGATAAAAAGTGTTTGAATATATCATGAGGCAGGAAGATCTGATTCAGAGTGCTACCTCCACCATAGAGTTGATTCCGAACGAAAAGCTGTAAATCTCTAAGTAAGTAAGTGCCACAGTTGTGCCTTTCCCAAATCAGAAGACAGCCTGACAAGCTTATGTGATGCATGAGGTGAAGAAACATGTAAAATATAATCCTCTCAAGTGGTCAAAGCCATTAGACATTTGGAAATTTACCCTGTAACATCGATAAAACCTCCAAAATAATAGTGACTAATTTCTGCTTACTAATTGTATTTGCTATATGCCCACCTAGTGTATTTCTAATTGACAGAAAACAAATACAATACTTTATATTCTCTTTACAGCAAATAAAAAGCTGCATTTTAAAACTAGTCTCAAAACAAAAAGTCCAGTAACCACGAAATTCCAAACAGTTTCTTTGGTCATGGGGTTTTCATTCAATCTCAGCTGAATTCTCACTTGCACAGGATCAGAGACACCAAAACATTTATGGAAACAGACAAATCTGCACAGTGTCATCTTTAGTTAACTGTTTCAGAAAAAAGGCAGCAAAGAACTTGCAGCACTAACATATTTCATTTCATACTAACTTTAATCTCAAACGCTATTTATTTGCTCTTGGAGCTTCTATACATATGTGTACCCACACTGTATCCCACGCAGCTGCAGACGGAGGACTCCTAACATCTGTTTGCGGAGGTGCTGCCAGTGGTGACCAGAGTTTCTGGCTTCTGTCTAAGCATATATGCACAGCAGATGTCCCCCCATACCTTTCTCTGCTATTAACCTCATGTATTGGGTTTGCGTGGCAAGGTTTTGGTAGCAGGGGGCTACAGGGGTGGCTTCCGTGAGAAGCTGCTAGGAGCTTCCCCCATGTCTGACAGAGCCAATGCCAGCCGGCTCCAAGACGGACCTGCCGCTGGCCAAGGCCGAGCCCATCAGTGACCCTGGTAGCGCCTCTGGGCTAATGGATTTAAGAAGGGGGGGGGGGAAATGTGCAATTGCAGCCAGCAAGAGGAGAATATGTGAGAAACAACTCTGCAGACACCAAGGTCAGTGAAGGAGGGGGAGGATGTAACTGGTGAGTGATCTCTCCCTGCCCTTATCTCAACCCATGAGCTCTCGTTATATTTTCTCTCCCCTGTCCAGCTGAGGAGGGGAGTGATAGAGCGGCTTTGGTGGGCACCTGGCGTCCAGCCAGGGTCAACCCAGCACACCTCATTATAACGCTTACCACCAGGACTTTCTCATCTTCCAGTGCGGTCTCTTCCTTACGTTGCCCTACGCATTCTGCATCACACTAAGCCCAGGCTGGCTGCTTCATTCACCCCTGGGTCTCTGTCATGTCCTGAGCCAGTGGTGAAAGGAGCTCCCACTTCACAGGGGCAGGTAGCTGCAATCCAGTCCGTCACAGATGGTATCCACACTTGAAGGCAGCTTTCCACTGCTGGGAGAAACCTCTGCAACAAGTAGTTGGGGTTGGGAGACACACTGCTTTTTAGTGGTTTGCATATATAGAAACCACTGATTGGAAAACTCCGCAGGAAAATCCTATCACTTATCCTATCAAGTCTTGCAGAGGCACCTATTTTATTCACTGATAAATCAAACTCCAATTTTGGTCAGCATTTTTTTTTTTTTTTAATAAGTGAATTCACAAACAGGCAAACATTTCACCAGCAGTACCCTGGCACCTTCCATTCAGAATCCATTGATTTGTTTTCTATTGTAACATTACCAATTACAACATTTAAAACAAAGAAGGGGCTCAAGTTCTTCACAAAGACTTATATTTCAAGAATGAAACCATTCATTGTCTGAAGTGCCAGTTTGATAAACATGTATGTAATTGCAAAAGAAATAGCTTGGCAAGGTGAGTTCAGTGCCACTGACACTGTGTTTTTCAAACACTTTTTGAACCTGGTCCGAGCAATCCAAGACCATTTAAAACTGTAGCCGTGCCTTCTAGTAACAATTATGTTCAACTGCACCTATTGGAAGAGTAAGACTGAGGACTTAATGTTTTGAACTTGGGATCTAAAACATTGAAAAAATGCATAATACCTTTAAAAAAACAGCTGAAACAAAGACCTGCTGATGTACAGCTAATCTTATTTAGCATACAATACCCTCAGCAATGTGTCTATGAATTTAAAAGAGACTCCCAGCTAGCAGAACAAAAGCTATACAAATCCAGTAACACCAAGATGTGAATCCCTCTGCTTACTCACCACTGTCTTGCCACATTTTCCATTACTTTCTTCCTATTGACCTTGCCTCTCCTTGGCACTGTCACATATGGACAGGGATGCACTGCTCTAGCCATGAAAAACTCCTAGTGACAACAGTAATGGGTGCTAACGTACAGTTAACTTTAATTCTTAGAAACATTTCTTTTATTAGTGAATTTGCAGCTATGAATAACTAAAAGTTACATCTGATATTCTTTCTTAGTGCTGCAAACTCTGGCCCAAATCTTACTAATTTTACTTAAAAAATTACCTGGCTCAGAAGAATATTCTGCCAAATTATATTTTCAGTTACCCAGGACAAAAACTCAGTACATGCTGTAACATTAAATAGGAAAATTTCTACCACGTGTCCACCCTTCCTTGGATCCGAGGGGTGTATACATCAGGGTGAGCTTGTAGAACAGTAATTCTGAGAAGAGTAGAGTTCCTAACAGAATACCCACCTCAAGTTTAGTGTTGCAAATGATCTTTTTATCAAAGGATACAAACATCCCTGATTACAGAAGGTACTTCTTTTTTTTTTTAAATGTCAGACAAAATAACTTCAGGAGTTGGGTGATCTTGTAAAATAAACCACTACTACCTAAATATTTCTTACACCATTACATCATCAAGACTACTGAATTTTATTATTTCTCAAACTCAGTAGAGTATGGATAAGTTTTCCTTATTAAAAGCAGCAAAAATCAAGACTCATAGGAGCTTTTAATTAAAAATCATCATGATATCTCACAGCTAAAATAACTGTTTCTCAGAAAAATAAAATGCATTAAAACCTTGTCTGCTACAATAAGATTTAAGAAAAAAAAAATACCTCAAATGTAAATTGTTCAAGTACAGCCAGTGTGCAATTAAACTAGTTAGAAAATATAATTTAATAGTGCTTTGTTTCAAAATATACATAATATTGAAAAGTACTTAAAACCAAGAAAGTGAATATTTACCAAGTTTCAAACAGAGTTTCATCAAAATGAGGTAAATCTATGTCACCTGCCATTGAGCTTGGTGCTGAAATGGAGAACAGGTCTTCAAGGATATCCTCCCTAGTAGGACTTTCAAAAGCAAGTTTTTTCACACTAGGTTTGCTTATTGTATGAAGTTCCAAATTACTGTCCTTTACAGGACTGTAATAATTGTGGTCCTCACTTGTCATTGCTGCTTGTGGTACACTGGTCTTCTCATCGGACGCTGTCGTTGCAACACTGCTATCCACCATTTCCATATACATACATTCATCTTCACTTTTTGGAGCCTCTAAGGAAGCAACAGTTGAAGTAGGGGACAGTAATTCTGCCAGAATTTCATCATTGTTATTATGGCTAGTGCACCCTGATACAGAGTTCGCATTAAATTCAGATTCATTATCTGCAACATCAATCTGATACTGCAGTTCCCTTAAAAAGCTCTGCAATAATTCACTGTCATTGTGAGATTCAGTCTGTGATGGGGTGCTTACATCTCTACTCACAGGTTTTTCATGTTTCATCTGTTCCACTGCCAGCCTATCCAGTGAAGCCAACTTCTTCTTTTTAGCATTAAGTTTTTTTAACAGTTTTAGGCGAAGTTTTTTTGTTTTGTCACTATCTGACTCTTCTGCCTTCCCAGAATTATAGCGAGGTGAATGGAACTGAGACACTTTACCTGAGGTACCCAACGTACTTCCTGACTTATTCCAAGTTGGACCTTCAATAGTGGTATGACTTGCTGTTGGAAGACGAGTGCTTTGAGAAAATCCTTTGAAATTTGATAAAGGATGAGTATTATTACTCTGAGGAACCACTGACTTCGGGGTCTCAGTTGTTTTGTTTGTACTTCTGCTTTGAAATCCACCAAAGTTACTTGCTCCCTTAACTGGCAACCGCACTTCACTTATTTTTTGCATTGAGGGAGTTTTGCAACTTCTCTCATTCTTGAGAGCTGAGGCACTTGAAGGCATGAAAGAAGTATTCTTGCTTAATAATTTCTTTACCCAGCTTCCTACAAATCCTCTTTTTTGGTCTTTGTGTGAAGGCTGAAAGGAATTATTGGAAGAAGAAGAATTGGCATCCTGAGAATTAACTACAATTTTGCTTGCATCTTTCAAGTCAGGTGATTTTTGTATAATATTCTCTACTGGTGACAACTTCGTGTTTAGCTGTAGTTCTGAATTTATTCCATGTTCTCTGTTAGGTAAATTAGTTCTGTCATTTATTCTTTGAGCAAGTGATGAGTCAGATGGGTCGGCGTTGGGGGTTTTGGGCACAGGAGAAGTAATATTTGCTGAGTTCAACTCTTCTAGAGGTAAGCAAATGCTGGAATTTTCATATAACATGCATTTATTCTTCATAGCTAGACTAGTTGCAGCAAACTCTCCTGTATATGGAGTGTTAGGTGAAAAAGCTGATTCCTGCTGTTGAGGTGTGCCCACTTCAACAACAAGGTTATTTCCCACCATCTGTCCATTCAGCAGCGATTTACCTTCTGAGTCAACTTGAATTTCTTCAAGCATCAGTGTTACAAGATCATCATGTGCCAGATCTTCCAAACCATGATGTACAATACTTTCATCCTCAGCTACCCGCTGCTGTTTCTTATCTGGAGTTCTCACAGAATCCTCTTTGCAATGTTCTTCAGGTATTTTGTCTACAGTGTTATCAAAACCACAGTGCAACGCTGTGGAATTTGAGTGTACATTATTAAGAGGAAAATCTTCTATGTTTTTACTCTGGAACTGTGAATTCAGTTCTTCTGGCACATGGGATGTTTTCTTTTCCCAGATAACAATATGAATCTCTGAAGGAGGAACTTCAAATCTTTTATGTCTCTTGCAATATGGCCCCTTTAAATCATCACACTCAAGCCAAGTTCCTGAAAAATAAATAGCAACCAGTGGACTCAGAGACTTCTAAAATGGAAGTCACTATTGTCAGACGCTTGTCAAATATTTTTATCAACCCATTCCCCTGACAAGCAGAAAAGAAAGGTTTTTTTTCTCCATTCTTTACTACATCAGAGAAAACTGGGAGATCTCCACGGTAAAATGATCAAACACAAGCAAAATTTGCAGCAATATTATTACAGGTCAGAGTAGGTCAACAAAAAAACAAAGCTAAGTTTTTTTTTGTCTGAGCTAATGATGCTGACATCTTATCTGAAAATACAATCACAGGTCTGAGGGAAGAACTATATCTCAAATTAAGTTTCTCTGTAGACCTTTACATTGCCTGGGTGGAAGGCACAGGGGTTTAAGAGAAACTGCTCTTTTTAATAATCTGCCTCATCATCTGCAAATTCTTCATAGATCATGAGCAAAGATTTCACAGCTTTAAGAATTTCAAAATAGGTGTCTATGATGTGTAGGATGTTCCTAACTAGGCACTTCCCAGCTGCTTCCTCTTCCTATTTCTTCTTAAACTCTGGCAGTATGATTTAGACCATTTTCATTTTGTCACAATACTCGGTAAGATTGCACTCCATTCTCTCTACAGAAGTGTGAGAATCAATATATCAACTTTTCACCTTCTCTGATTATGGAGTTCCCATCAATGGTACAACCATCATACCATTAGTAATGCTTCTAGCATGGATCTGTGCCTCCCGCCCCTCAGGTGCAGTAAAGTTCACAAATGAAAAGAAACTTCATTAATGCTGGTAGTTCCACAGGTTCCCTCGCTTCCCGCAAAGAGCGGATTAATAACTGGCTTCAAAATAACTGATACCATTTGTCCCACAGCGATGCTCAGACTGTATTTTTTAACATCTACAAAGTTATGAAGGGAAACAGCTCTACCCAGATAACTTTTTGCCAGTGAGTAGAGCGTAGGACAGAACACTGCTGAATAAATCAGTTAAACCTTCACTCTGAGTAACAAACTTCCCACAATTATTCATAAAATTTTAATATGAAGTTTAGAAGGCAGACAAAATAAATCCTTGTTATTACATGTGGACTGCTGAGACTACTGCAGTAACCCATAAAACAGTATTTGATGTAGACTCATGAAGTATTATAATAGAATTTATGGTTCTTACCATCAGGATTCAAAGACCAGGTTATGAAGTGCTTCTTATCTGTTTGATACTGAACAATAGAGGTTATTTGGTAGGTGTCTTCTTCAAACTGAAATGAATAGTTCTTCAGGTTGTTATGTGGCAAGCCTTCTACGAAATGTAACATTAATATTGAGGGTACTCTATAATAAAGAAACAATGAAGAACCAGTTTATTACAGCAAAACAGTGGCAAAAGTTCCTAATGAAAAAGTAAGGCATCTCAAAGAGTATGTAGTTCTGCCCTTATTGTTCTACTTCCACACAGGACTCTTCAGATTGCACAGTAGTCAAGGCATAAGAATACCCCAGCTGGGTAGTCCATTTTGTTATAGATTAGGGGAAAAAACACCACCACATAAGGGATTTTGGGGAGTGGGAAAAAGGTGAAAAAAACCCAGGAGACAACTGTGCCATAACCACAGTAGGAAAGGACATTGTTCCCAAGTCAAATTAGTAAACAGATGATCAAACAACAGTTTTATCCACCAACAGCAGGGGTTATGAAAAGGCTGACACTGGATATCAGCTGTATATAGTCACTACTTGGTAGTAAGTATTTATGACCTGGCCCAAACACAGGTGCTGGTCAGCATGTTAAACACTGCTCTATGTTTCATGTTTATTAAATGCTGAAACGGCAAAGAGTGTTTAAGAATGATCTAGAAATCTTAAAAAGTGACTATTTATCAGAGTTTAAAGTTTAGAATCTCTGTAAACCCAAGATAATAGTTTGGTTTTGAAAGTGATATGCTCAATACATGAACTCTCAGAATTTTATGTATTTTATTTTCAAGTTCACATATTCAAACTTACTTTTCCAAAATCATCTGTCTTCTTTGAGATCTATCACTACAGTTATTACATGGTCCAACATGAACAGCATTAAGTGGATGCCAGTCAGGGATTATATTTGTGAATGTTGTTAGTGTTTTCCTAAATCTGGACATACACACACACCAAAAAAAAAGGAGAAAGTTGAGTTGCTGATCAGAAAACAATAATTATACACACTTTACCAGGAGAAAAAAAGTTATAAAAATGTTATGACAAAGCCAAATTCTATTCATATTCATGCCAGTTGTGTGAATTCCACTGTGACTGCATCACATCCAAGTCAGCACTGAATTCAGTTCTGCCAAACAGTATCAGTCACCGTTTGTTTTCAGCAGCTCTGTGGCCTTCAGTTTCACATTATTTGCTCTCCCTTAGCATGTTATCTCTGTTTCCTTTCCAACATAAGACAGAGCTTGTACCAGGATCTGCATATTTTACTAGCTAATACAGAATCTCAAGGAGAGAAGGAAGTGGTAACAAATTACCTCAGAATCCACGTTATACAAGGTCTTGTTTTCAAAAAACAGTACATTCAGAGCAGAGATTACACAGAGGTTATATTGTATGAAAGTACAATGTACGGGATATTAAAGTGAAATAACGTAGTTTATTCATTCATTAGCCACAGAAAGGGCTTCCTTTATATTCAACCTAACCTAGATTTTTCAGCTTCTTAAAAAGACACAGTATGTAACAAAGGCTCTTGAACACATCCTATTAACCAGGACTACATATTAGCTAGCAGTGCAACAGATAGCATTAATCTCATCTCACTCGGGGATCTAGAATTTTATTGTATAAATCTAAGATAGTGGAGAGAAACAGGTATTTTTCAAGTAAAGTGAGCTGTCTTCTGAAGGTGTCTCTCTTTTTCTTCCGACTCTAAAAAGAGCCTAAATTACTAGCTTGTACCTGCAACTACACAGAACTAAATAAATTCTCAAGAAATTACTTCCCTGTAATACTATTTTAAAATAGATAAATTATGTGAGAGAATCTCTGATTCTTTGTAATCCAAATGAATATTAGATATTCTCCAATAGCAAAAGTGTACTAGGCATATATTCTTTAGAACCACAACAATTTGTATACTCGCAGCAAAATACCAGAGTGAGCATGGCCAGGGACTCACACAGTTACCTACTATTTCTTTCTTAATTAAGTGATAACATGGTTTCCTAAGACATGACATAGCAGTAAACTATTTGCAAACGTAGCCTAAAAAAGTGGATCATGTAAAACTTCACCAACAAGCTTAAGCTGTACAAAACCTGGAGATCTGTAGAAAATAAACTATTACACGCAGATTTAAAAAGGTAAGGTAGAACAGTTATATAGAAGCTACTTAAATAAAAATCTCACCGGTCCTGGTATTTGTAGCCACAACATACACATTCAAACTTCCATGAAAATGAATGCAAGAATAGTTTCTCAGCTTGTTGATCCAGTTGTAAGAGTAGAGGGAGTGCAAACACTGGACTCTCCTTCTGACCTTCAAATATGGGGCAGAAAAAACAGTCACTGAATATTTGAAATCAGCTTTCAGTACTTCAAAAAGGAAGAAAATAAGCTTATTGCTATGATTTTAATACCAGTTATCCCTTCAAGGCTGTATTTCTAATCCTCACAGCAAAGGGACTGATCCATGTTATTAGGTTGTTATCAATGACAATTTCATGGCTGAAGCATAGTTACAAAGATGAGAATATGCTCTCTAAAATGTCAAAACCAGTCAAGGGACAAACCAGCTGATCATACTGTAAAGTATGTGTATGTCACCAATAAAACCAAATGTATCTGCAAACTGTCTTGTATGCATATGTACATACATATTTTTATGTACTGACATACAAGGCTTTACATGTAGAGTTTCCTGAAAGCAAGTACTGAGATGCTGCACTAATTACTTACCTAGTTCACACTTAAGCTGAGGCTGAAGCTGTGTAAACATTCTGTTTCTGATTTCATTGAGATGAGATTCTGCTGTTGGAAGAACATCTAAAGAAAAAAGTACATATGTCTTCATATATTTATGTGTAACACCCCCACCCTTTCACACACATATGTACCCCTAACACACACTCATTCTCTGCAATCTGATACCTTCCATATTGACCCATACTTGCCTAAAACTGCTGGTAAAATAGCCAATGCTTGGTATTAATTGATTTGAAAATTAGAGAAGAATTTACACAAGTTATACACATTTTACTGCAGTCTGCTAACCAGAAATTACTTGACCTGACTTAAATTATGGCTAACAGCGTGTACCAACAGCTAGATAGTAACAACATTTAAGGATAGTGTAACCAGACATTACAAACTCTGGAGATTTGGAGATTAAGAGTAGATTTTAAAACCTAAACATTAAGATCAAAAGACAAAAAAATGGCTTACATGCTTTCTAATGATTTATACAATTTATAATAAAATATTTAAATGTGTTGCTCCAGATTAAATGCTAATTTCCTAAGTCAGCCTTTAAAACAGTAAAAATAATTTTTTTAAAATATATTTTATATATCTTAGTATGTCTTTTAAATTTGCAAGTTACATTGTTTCTACACAAACACATTCTTTAAGCACAAGCAAGAACATAACTTCTACTACACAATCATGATGATAACCTCTACAAATTAAAAGGATTTAGAGTAGCTGTTGAAACTATTACTTATAAAATCTATGATATAAAAAAGGTAAACAGAAGTTTCTTGCAGCTTTATTGCTTTTGATTGTTTTTAAAACAACTGTATGTAAAAGATGCTGCAAAATTACACAGAAGGGCAGAATAAATACTACACTTTTTCTCCACAACAGTACTCTTCATCCAATCCCCTCTCCACTGTAGCCCAAATAAACTGATTTGTTTTGCAGCAATTCCTGGAAGTGAAAAGGCTTAAGTTAATCTCAGACGACACTATATTCCAACACCTAACATCTCCATTTAAGGGTTCTTGCACACCAGAGCTCCTTGGCAAACAGAGCACAACAGAGGTGAAAGAAAAACATCTCAGACAGGTTCTGCAATGGTAGAGGGCTTCCAGGTAATAGCTGAAAACCTAAAATCAAGCAGCCTGACTTTCTGGCAAGCAGAGTATATGAACTACTTCAGAATCTTTTTGGATTTCTTTTTTCCCCCTCTGTAAATAGTATGCTTTCTCTGCCACAAGGTGGGTTAAACCATTTTTGATACACTTATTATTTTTCCCAGCAAAGATAGGACATTTTTAAAGTTATCAAATGCTGTTCTGGGACTATAGTCTCTATATTCAAACACACACTTTTCGTGGAATGCCTGTGGAAAAACAAAAAATCATGAAAGGTACTGGCTTACCAGAGATCTGTATTAATTCTCTAACAGATGAGCTCTTAGAAGTTCAGACTTATGACAGCAATGGGTCAGTTCAAGACGACTAATCATAGAATCATAGAATGGTTTGGGTTGGAAGGGACATTAAAGATCATCTAGTTCCAACCCCCCCTGCCATGGGCAGGGACACCTTCCACTAGACCAGGTTGCTCAAAGCCCCATCCAACCTGGCCTTGAACACTGCCAGGGATGGGCCATCCACAACCTCTCTGGGCAACCTGTTTCAGCGCTTCACTACCCTCACAGTGAAGAACTTCTTCCTCATGTATCATCTAAATCTACCCTCTTGCAGCTTAAAGCCATTATCCCTTGTCTTATCGCTACATGCCTTTGTAAAAAGTCCCTCTCCAGCTTTCTTGTAGTCCCCCATTAGGTACTGTAAGGCTGCTGTAAGGTCTTCCTGGAGCCTTCTCTTCTCTAGGCTGAACAACCCCAACTCTCTCAGCCTGTCTTCATCAGACAGGTGCTCCAGCCACCTGATCATCTCTGTGGCCCACCTCTGGACCCACTTCAACAGGTCCATGTCCTTCTTATGTTTGGAGCCCCAGAGCTGGGTGCAGTACTCCAGGTGAGGTGTCATGAAAACGGAGTAGAGGGGGAGAACCACCTCCTTCAACCAGCTGGCCAGGCTTCTTCTGATGCAGCCCAGGATACAGTTGGCTTTCTGGGCTGCAAACACACATTGCCAGCTCATGTTGAGCTTCTCATCAACCAACACTCCCAAGCCCTTCTCCTCAGCAAAACCAGATCTTAGTTTAAGAGTCTTAAACTGAATCCGCAGTACAGAAAATGATCAAAGACCATACTAGTAGATTACAGTGACACATCCTCCTCTGACTCCAGCTGTGCTGCCTAGAAGGTTGCCCCCAGCTGCCCATCACTGCCCCTGTGCTGGGAGGTTAAAGTCCTCAAACCTGTTAAGCTGCACATGTGAGTAGTCACTAACCCTCTCCAGAAAATATGAGCCAGGTTAATGTGTTTGACTAATTTTGACTGAAACAGGTTAGGAAGCACTATCATCCACAGCACAGCTTGCAGACCTCAGGGGAAGCATTCCTTCAATGAGCACAGCTGGAGCCAGAAGAGAACATATGTTCCCAGCTTTACTATTTTTTGTGTGACAAAGCACTGCCCACTTATACAACAGAAATGATTTTGAAGATTAAGATTAGAACAGCATCCTCATATGTTAGCCAACAGAGGGGAAGGAAACAAAGTGAGGCTCAATTACATAAACAATTCACAAATTCTCTATGTGGGATATGACAAAAAAATTCAAGAGATGCTTAGTGTTTGATGCTTTCAAAGTGTGCATGTTTACCCCAAGAAAAACAGTATCAGAGGTTACTGGGATTCTGCCAGACAAAGCACACTACTCTGCAAATTCACGGTAATGAGTTGTAACTCATTCTTTTGTGATCTTGAAATAGAACAGAGGCATATTTGCTAAATTCCATATTTTGTAGCAGATCAGATCAGTCTGAATACGAAGAAACAGCAGCTAAATTTACTCACCTTTTACTTTACTCCTTTTACAGGTATTCAGAAGCACAGTTGCTTGATTATATTTTGTTAAGAGTTTCTGGAGTAAACATCTTCCATCATTATAGTCTTCTGCTAGAGCAAATTTTAATGTTTCTAAGTGTACCAGCGCTGACAAAATACAATCTAACCAACAAAGATTATGCATGTTTCTCCATTGAAGACATAAATCTGTGTTATTAGTGGAACCTTTACCATCTTTGAGCAAAATTTCTGATGTTGTTGAGCAAAGTTCAGAATTTGGCAAGAGTTGTGTTCTGCAACTAGAAGTCTTAGGCGGACTTTCTTGGTAGTTGTTGGCGTTGGTGGTTGTTTCAAAATCCACCTTCTGCAGGCAGGACTCCACATTGTTACTAGGTTTTTGCTCGTCATTTTGTAACACATCATGTAGGCTTGACTTGGGAATACATAAGCTATTCTGATAGCATTTAACAACAGGGTCTGTATTAATAGAATGCTCAACGTCTACCACATTATTAGTTCTTGCTTTTTTTGGATGTGATTGAACAGGAGAAAAGTCACTGATGTTACACAATTTCCTTTTCTTATGAGTAGGTGAAACTTGATGATTTTCTGAATCAGCAGAAGTAATTATGCTGTTTAATGGTTTATAACCAAGTGGGTAGATACACTACAGGAAAGAAAAAAAGTTACAGTGAAATCAATTTCAGGTGAACAAAAGCTAATAAATATCACATACCATACTCTTGAAATGGAATATAGGATTTCTGTAGAGTGATATTTTAATGAAATCAATACATAAATTCAACATATGTATGACAGAAAGGGTGTTTTATCCAACCACTGTCTTATAAGCAATTGTGAAGTAAATGTATCAGTAGTGATAATCAACACTACTTTTCTAGTAAATACTTCCAACCCCTGAAAACTACCTAATTTTGCTAAGGAGAGTCCTCTTCTCTTACTCACCTAAATCCATTCCTTTAGGGCAAAGATTTGGCATTATCATCTTGTGCCTGAGACTACTGGTGCCAAAACTGGCAAGGTAACTTTCAGGCTAGCCTGATGATTTAGACCAGGTGTTTGTAGGGCCTTACATATATAGCTATTCTGCAACCAGAATATAGTCAAATCGCTATTACCAATCTCCAGAACGATACCGTGATTATTTAAAGCAGGGAGGGATGGGAAAAGCAACTCAGAGACCCATATCTAGTCTAGTCTACTAATTTAAGGGCACCAGTCCATATGGGATTGCTATACCCTCCCCCCATACAAAGAGTGGTGGAGAAAGGAAAGGCAGCAAAATCATGACTCAAATATTAAGCAGCAAAGAAATCCAGCTAAGGTTAAACTTAAAAGGGAAAAAAAAAAAAAAAAAAAAAAAAAAAGAAAAGAAAAACATTGTAATTATACAAACCTATTTGCATTACCCAGACTTAAGGAAGGGAAAATGGGAGACTCACATCTGCAGGAGTCATGTATTAGTTACATGAATCATCAAATTTTTGCCTTGTATTCTGATTAGTACAAAAATTTATTTAGTACCACTTGTGCTCCTGTATTGGCTTTATGTGGCAAGGTTTTGG